AAGTAGTGAAAATGTTCCCGTACCAATAAAAATTTCCGTTATTCGAAAGTGTCCGTTAAGGGAGATTTCACGGTATAATTCAACTACATCACTAACCTTATATTTTTAGTGTAATAATGTTCCACTTTTTATTTCAAGTTAACCTAATTTATTTTAAATTATCATACCTAATGATTTGTTAAAATAAATTGATTTCACGTAATTTTAAAAGATTAGTTTAATCAAGTCCAATCATTTGAGTCAATGAAATACTAATTTAAAATACCTATTATAATTTATGTTGATTATTTATCACGAAAAAAAAATAAAGAAATATAAGAAATTGAGTTTTCAAGTTGAAATAATTTTTTTTAACCTTCAAAGTTTTTAAGATCATCACAGGTAATTAGAGCGCTCGTGTAAAATAAGCTTTCCAATTAGAATCATATTTTTTTATCTATAAGTTTTTTTATAATTACAATAATCATTGATATTGTTTGTGTTTTATTATTTATTATTTTGCGCCTTAAATTAATACATTTTTTTTTTCATGAAAAACTATGTAACCAATTCACTACGTTATTAAGATAAAAATAGACAACTATTTACTTAAAATATGCCGAAAACACATTTTGTAATATTAACAAATTTTATTTTAATAATTGAATGACGTTGTGCTATTTTGATAAGTGAATATAATATATAACAACTGTATTTATCTGTATGACATAGTATAGCAGTAAATAGGAATGAGTACTTCATCAAAAAAACATTTAATTAACCCAAAAACTTAATTTATATTATTACAACCTAACTGTTTTACACATTAAAAACATAATTCACCTAACTTTTGTCATGGGACCTCTATTGTTTATGTTTATAATTACAAGTTTATCTTAGTTCTATCGAATTTCAAAACTGTTAAACGCAACATCTACTATACTGTACTCCACCTTTTACATTTATGTATGTACCTGTAAACCCATATGGTCATAATAATAAACATAATAATAGACATCACGTAACAACCTTAATTAGTACCATTGAAACGTGCAAATGTATATTTAACTAGTGAACATGGATGTGTGTATGTGTGTGTGTGTGTGTAATAAAACAGATAAAACAAAGGTTTGTGTTTAAATCACGTGTTTAAATTAATTTGAATGACAGGTACATCAATGAGTTCCTCACACACATTGGCTGCAGTATAAGTTGTAACTCGTAAAATAAACTACGGTAACATACGTTATATTCGCTCGTCAAAAATATCTTTCGGTAAAAATATATACTTCAGTATTTTTAGTGACTATTTATCCGAGGCAATGGCTTACACGCCTTTTTGATTTCGTAACGCTAGGACGTATTGTGAATATTTATATGTATTCATATAGTATATAATATTTATATATATATATATATATATAGATAGATAGATATAGATGTATATACATATTATGTATTTTATAGCCAGAGGGTGGAAGCAAAATCCCATGAAAACTTAATTACCTCCGTATTTTTAATTTATATTTTGCGCCTGTCGATTTGGTAAATGAAAATCTGCAAGCGCCGTCGGTGATGCTGTTTTGTTTATCCAAACAGCGGATAGAAACAAACAGCGAGAACGGTATATAACTTTCAAGCTATGAATTATTTATCGAAATGAACGTGGAGGCGAATGACAGGGTTGAGGTGAAAAACGTCTTAAATTAAAAAAAATTAAATAAATCATATTTTTTTTTTATTTTAAACCGATGGCATTACTTATTTATAAAGCTTGAACACTTTAGCACCGAGATAAATATACTTAATTTTAAAACGAATAAATGTAAATAGATCAAGCAATCATCTCTAATATAATATACAATTTGAGAGCTATGGATGTAAATTAATTTTTCAATCTATCACACAATTATTATTGAAATGAGTATATTCATTAATACATAATCCGAATCACTGGGAAATTATCGTACATGCTTAAGTTTAGAAATAATTTATCGGCTTGCAACACTAATGCTATAATACAATATAATAAAACACCAATACAATTATTTATAATAATTTATAGCGATTATTATTAGTTGAAACACATTATTCAAAATCGCAATAAATAAACGTTATATACTACAATACGGTTACGTATTATTCAATTCTCTAGAGAAATGCTGTATTCATTTTATTTCTAAAAGATTTATTCAAACAATCCTTAAATTTCACCTTAAATTATCAGAATTATAATACTATACAAACGTTAACGACTTAATAATATTTAGATTGCATGTGTACTTTTTAATTTAAATACGTAATGATAGCAATTTATTGTTAGGACTAAGATAGAAATGTTATAACTAAAAGGTCTTTCCTAAAAAAAATATCCAATAGAATTAATAGAAAAAACCATTTTTATCGCATTATTTTTAATCATATTGATTTTAATAGTATTATTGTTCTATGTGCATCATTCATTTAAACAAAATATAAAAATCTATACGTACTACAAAAATTAAAAATAATGATAATTATTAAATTTACAATTCAAGAGTACTATTTTTCCTATGCTTATTAGCATTTCTATTACATACTTCCGGAAATATTATTATAACCCTTAAAAAATTGAATAATGTGGTCGATATACATACTCCCAAGCCTATAGAACCAAGTGTCATACCCACATCCCATTATCCTTTGGTAAGTAGGAACGATATTATATTTTTTCACGTACCATAACTGGAAAATCGTACCTCTTGGATTAATAAAATGCTAAAAATAGGATCTTCCTGTATCATTGATCGTAATGTGGATAATTAATATTTAATATATGCATTATAAACAGTACAAGGAAGGCAGATTTAATTCTCAAAAATAATTCGTCTTAATTATATTCGTATTTAAGTTATCGGTATACTGTGAATTCAGATTAAAGCCAATTGCCCAAACATTAACTCTCGCTTTGAATATTTCAAAATTTCCTGATGACTGATTCATGTGTTATTTTGGCGTTATTGCATAATTTTTTCAAACAATTATATTATGTATAATAGCACATTATATTGTTATAAATATCAATTTCATAAGTAAACTAATTTTAATAATAAAAAAAACTATTTATATTCATACGGCTTATTTATATAGTTGAATTATTGTGGTTCGTTAAATATGTATACAATCAGACATGGTGACTATTATAACGTTGTGTATATAATACTTTATAAGTACAAGTGTAACGCGTGTCCTTTCTATTTTACCATAGAACACAGCACGTGCAATCAAAATCCAGTGCAATCTCGTAACAGCCTTTTTAACCCTCTTTTTGGCTTTTGTGTTCCCCTATAAACACACAACAACGACGGCAGTTGTGCCAAAGTGGTTAGGTATATGATTATGTGACACAAATATCGAGTGTGTTTGTGATGATAAAAAAAAAAAAGCAAAACATATGAAATAAAAAACGGCGAATGAATGAAAAACTCGGACAGAGAATTCCGTTGACAATTGAAAATATTAAAAATAAAAAACAAGTAGATGTTATGTAATATATTTCCCTTTCTATTTTGTCGTGTTTGGAGATAAAATGACCGACAGTTAAACGTGTATAGATACAGCCCGTTGCGCCTTAACGGGTGAAAGTGACAACCCCATTAAACTGTCAACGCACTCTGAATAGATATTGATAAGGATTTGAAAACGTTTATCGGTTGATAATCCTCGAAAGAGCACAACTTTTTTAATATAATTTCAAGTAATCAATTATTTTCATCGTGTCACACAGTACGGTTTTTGTATATGTATTCATCTTCATTATATTATAATTATTGTAAATAATATTTTAAATTTATAATATTATAATGTATATACAGGCATTCTAGTAAGAGAATATTATTTTATTATTAATGAATTAAAAAAAAAAAAAACTTTACAAATAGTCTTAAATTATTTGGAACTTAAATAAAGTTACTTAGAAGTGTATTAAAATATTTGTTTTATGAATCGGTTATCTTTAACTTATATAATTATAATTTAAAAATGTTCTAAAAATTATAAGTGCTTCTCATTATTGAAATTAATTTTTCTTTAATATTTTTTAAAATAAGTTTTAAAAGTTGTTATAAATAAATCATTAATTTTTTTTATTTTTCTATTTTAACTATCTATATAATAGCATAATGGATAACTAATATACGTCTTGACAGTCTTTAAAATTGAAAAAAATAATAAAATACATTGTTATTATTAAGTTTAAACATTTTTCTCCAAGTTATGATTATAATGTAGAAAACATTTTTAAAATGGACATATAAAAATGTTCATGATAAAAATCTAGTACCTATAACTATTTTTTTTTATTAAACATATTTCTTCTGTGAAGAAAAGTTTTAAATTTATTTATCATACAAGTAAATGTGACAAAAAAGGTTTAAAAAATAATAAGTTGTTATTTAATAATTTAGTTTAATTGCTTACTATATATTATATTAAATTCAATTTATAAAGTAAAAAAATAGTATTTTTAATTTTATTGTCTAGTCATTATTAATTAATAATTTAACTTTATCAAACAATATTATTTCAATTCATAACAAATTAAAAATATTTTCAATATTAATTATTGTATGATTGGTCGCTTATAGAAGTTTAAATGAATCGCATTCTTATAGTCCCATAAAATTTGATAATTTTACCACATTTAAAAATGTAATCAAATAAAATATACAAATTGTGATATTTTTAAAATTATACCTTTTATTTTATGTTAAATACCTATAAAATAATAAAAATATTTTTTTAGGATTGAATTATACATTTGTTAAATATAAGACCCAATAAAACGTTGATATAATAAATAAAAATTAAAACCATTTCATTTGAGAACAATGTCAATGATGATCATTTTCATTCACTTCACCAGAAAAATGTTTAATTTGTTTTTAAATCAAAACAGAATGCACATTGTTCATGAAAACGCGTCATTATTATTTATAATAATTAAATTATATAAATACTTATTAAGTATATTATTTTTCTAGTTGCGTTTCGGGATACCTAGAATTGGTGGATTCCTTTGGACAAGGATCAGGACCCCGAATATGTGGCCAAAATGAACGGTTAGCACCGCCAGTCGTCATGTTTGCGGATAGAGAATCTGCAGTATTGAATTTCCGGTAAGGATTAAAAAAAAAAAAAAAATACTCAAACATAATGTTATAAAAACTATTGATATTAAACTTTAATAAGTTTTCGTAAGTAAGTAAAATGATATGCTATAAATATTTTATGGCTTAAAATATAGTGAATAAATATAATATAGATACGAACTGAGTGAAAAAGATATATAAGTTATTGGAAGTGCGATAAATGAAGGGGCAAATAGTTGAACTGTCTTTAGTGGATTTCTTCTTTGCGTATGTTTATGACTGCGTGAAAAAGATGATAGGTATATAATTCAATGTCAATCAGGAAGACTATAACAGAAAAAATAGTTATTATTTAAATTTTCTCTTTGTGAAATAGACACATTCAATATCATCTAGAGAGGAAATAATGCTTTTTACCATAAAGTTCAATTTTTTTTATTGTTATTTTTTTCAAAATTTTTTTAAAAATATATTTGATTTTATTATGAAAAATTACAATCTATACTAAGTACAATAAGTAATATAAATATTTTAAAATAGTTTACAAGTTATTATTTACATGAAGGAGAAATCACACATTTGTGACACCCCTGGTTTTATTTTCTTTCAAAATTTAAAATTATATATTATACTGTTAAAATAGTTATTAATAGTTACCCATGGTTAAATAATATTTTATTATATTCTTATTCGATAGATGTTTTTTGATATAATTGAGTAGATAAAAAAAGCATTTTAAATTTACTAAGAATTAAATAGACGTTGTTTTTTGAAAAAAAAAAAAATGTTTTATCCTAGTATAATTGTTAATAAAACAATTTTATTAATTTCATGAAAAAAAAAAAAACCACGAAATAATATTTTATTAAACCATATTCAAATTAAAATAAGAATTCCTCAAAACATTTGATAATTACAACAAAAATATAAATATTAAAAATGTATAAAGAGCTATATTTTGTTCACTCGTTAAGAATATTTGTATTCATTCTCATTTCAACTCATCCCCTTTAGATAGCTACAGCTAAAATAAACACAATACTTCTTCCGCCTCATTTCCTTTTGCTTGACTGAATCTTTATACTGTTTAATGTTCATTCACAAAATAACATTATCTGTTATAAAAAAAAAAGTAATGGAAAAGAAGTAAAAAAAAAAGATTAATTTAAAAACGACAGTAATGAACTAATATAATTACACAAGTCATTATGTTTAAAAACCATTTGTAAATTAAAACAAAACAGATTATTAAAATAACAATATGATCTACCAGAAAAAAAAATATTTTACTATAAATAAATAGTGGTATGCAAAAGCTGCTTTGAAAAATCGTATGTTATAGTAGTAAAACATTTAAAACTATGTGAGAATAATAAATATTATTTTTTTTATATATTTTCATTACTCATAGTGCTTTCTAATATCAACAAAAGAATAAAAAAGTATAAAAAGTATAATAGGAACTTAAAAAAAAAAAAATTAAAACTTAATCAATGTATTCTTTTACACATAAATCATAGTTAATGAATTAAGGAAAAAAATAGTTCTATTATAAAATTTGAATTACTTGTTTCTATCTCTTGGCAAAATGTTTTCACTGGAGATCTCTTCAATCCGTTATTCCTATTCGAACATGATTGTATCAATTATTACTTAAGCTTACGTATTATTCCAATTGTAATTGATTGTTTAATAAGAATAATTTTCTAAAAAAAATATATATATTTAGTTTTGATATTATTCGTATTGAAAGATTTCAACTAGAGTGTAAAATCAACTGACATAATGGAAATTTGTAATTTTGATTTTTCTTTATTTTCTTTTTAAATATGTACGTGTAAACGACCATCATAATAATCCATTGCATTCAAATACACAGTACTCATGCAATGTAAAGTGTTATTGTTATTATTAACAATAATATAAAATATAACTTATCATGATAAAACAGTTCTTGAAAGTTAAGTGGAAAATTTTATAGTCTTATATTTTTAATTTTTGATACAAAATATGTACATTTTGAACATTATTTATATATATATATATAGGTATTTACATTTATTGTCAATATTTAAATTATATCTATATGCCAAATTAACAATTTATTTGTAAATTAAAATTGAAAAATTTAGATTTATTATAAAACATAGATACACTTAACTATATATGTTTTAGTTAATTTTATAAATATATTTTATTAAATTATGTTTCATTCTACGACAAGAGGCCTTGATGCCGTAATTATTAACGCTGGAAATTTTCTTTCAACTTCGTTGTATTAAAAACGATATTATTATCTTTATTAACGAAACCATAAATTTAGACGTGCGCTGAAGAAACTTTTGAAAGTTTTCCCTACACAACCTGCCTACAAGGCTGTGCCGCTTATTGTTTCACCACCATGTTATTAATAACATCATGATTGTATATTTTTATACTTTGATGAAATCTTAATAAGAAATCTCTAATTCCTTTTACTGATTTCCGGAAAAAATATATATATTTAATGAGAAAAGGGTGAACCGAGATTAGGGTCAAATTTTCAACTGATGGGTTTTTGCGGTCAGTTTTTGGTGTGCAGCCAACGGTCCGAAACAGATGGACGAACGGACGGACAGAAAGACAGACGGACAGACGCTGACATTAATTTTCTATAGACACCCATGCACATGCTGGTCTCTCACCCCCGGCCATAGGCCTTAACCCTACACTGGATTTCTTTCAGTATGTAATCCAAATAGCTTCGCTGTTATCGTCAAAGAGTCTAAAATTCGTATACTGGAAACGATATTTTATCGAATAGACTTCATCGTATATTCGTATATTTTTCGAGCCAAAGCGCATATAGTTAGATATGCCCAGTGGCCAGAGAGTTTTCATTTTTTTTTTTTAACTATTCTTCTATTTTCTCCTTTCATCGTCTAGTTCTTGATAGGTATATAGATCATTCGGACATTTGGGATTGGTAAATATGGTTCTTAACGGTCCGTGAATGGTAGCGTTTTCTTTCGTACCATTGCTATATTTGTGACATTTTTTTTTTAAAAAGCCACACACGTATTTCTGCATGGCTTCACAATTGCTTTCAGGAAACTGATAATGTTTAATGACAACGCACTGACGCACAACGAACTATTCGAAAGCAGCAAAAGATATTACATGGCACTGAATAAATTTCATCCTTTACACATGTGTAAGTTAGCATGAATGTCTCCACAATTCTATTGGTTAAAAATAATGGCGAACTAAAAGTTACTTATATTAAAAGAAAATAATGATTTGCAAAATAAAAATATTAAAAAACATCGTACTCATTTTAATCCTATATTTCTTCATACTTCCAATACAACAAGAAATAAATTAAAAGTTTGAAAATACAATTAAAATAACATCGAACAATACACCATTGCAAATACATTATTCTTTTAATACAAACATATTTTTACTTATTAATTTTTAATATATAATTTATTCACTGTATTATTTATATACCTGAAAAATATTTATGTCGTTTGTAATAGCTGCTGTGAAATATTGTATTTTACCAAAACGTACTGGTTTATATTCTAAAATCGTAATTGCAAATACGATGTTTCAACAATGGGGTCAAAAGTTGAAATAAAACATTATTTATTTTAAAACAATAATGATTTAATATAAGTAAAATTAAGTAATAAATTATTTTGAATTTAGTCCATGACGTTAAATATCAATCGTATTGAAAATAATTTAATTTTAATAAAATTTAATAAATAGTTTTATAACAATTTTTAAATTATTAATACAATTATTTTATTGTTTTAGGATTGAAGAAGCCACGTCTAGATCACAATTTTTGGCATATTTTAGCTTTACTTCGTTAACTAATGTTCATGGTCTAGCGTTCAGGCCCAAAGGAGGTAGAAGGATAGAACACACGGGTGAGTCTGTGCATTTTAATTAAACTACTCGGTCTCGAAAGGTTTGTTCCCTAGTGATCCCATGATGCAGAAAATACAGACTATACCTAGTGTACTTATTACCCAATGTCGAGTTGAAACGAAGGTAAAAGTATAACACGTACAGTGTACATACTTGTGAATCAAAATTTCTTGTTTCGAGATTAGGATTTTTAACCAACTGCAAACGTATGTTGTTTTCGTAATTGCTTGTAGTTATATAGGTATACTACTATATTTTTGAAATTCGCATTGTAATACGAATGTATGATGAAAACAGTTTTTTACTTTTGTACTTAACGTATTTAACCAAAAGTTGTCAATTGATGTTTTATGTAGAACAGCATTGTTTAAAATGTCTAGCACCGGTATAGTTGAGCTTGTTTGTAAAATCAAGTATGATAATTTTAAAATGTTTGAATAAAATTGCATATTTTAAATACTGCAGGGAAGATATTAAAATGATTTATTATTTGACACTATATACGCTCAACTGATATAAAACATTTGAAATGAAATAAAACAGTTAAGTTCACAGATAGTTTTTTTTTAACCGTACATTGATTATCTAATTTTTTTCTTTACACAAAAAACTAAATTTCCAAGAATGTTATGATATATATGATAAAATACTATAAAATAGTGTAATGTTATTCAGGGTTATATAACAAAGAAATGTTACGACCACATATAAATGCAATTTAATGTGATATATTGCTTTCATATTTTACCCGAATCATTAATTTTTTGCTAAACGATAAAATACATACCAAGGGTGATTCTGATTTGAACATCTGTTTTCATGTAATATAATGTTTTCGTGTGCAGGATGGCTCATTAAGTATGTCTGATATTAAATAGTGGAATAATGGAGTTTCTATTACGTACCTCGGCAAAAATATTAAACATTTAACTAAATTATTGCAGATATGTGTGTAAATTTACTTATATGTATATATGTATAATATACATTGTACATGTATATGAGAATACACCAAAATTTTACATTTTTATGTATATAAAATATATTTTATGTTTAATTTAAAACAAATAACATATAATTTAATGTTCATTCCATTGTTTTCTTCAATAACACAATCATTTAAAATCATTTTTTTCAACATTTTTAAATATACTTTTTTAAAACTATATTTTCAAATCCTTAAGATTTTTTGTACTACTTATAAAATGTCTAATAAAATTACAGACTTCTGTATTTTTGTTGAATGGAACCAATTATTTTATATTGTAAATTATTTAGTGAAAACTTTTTCTGAACATTTTTATGTATTAAAATTAAATTTTTAAAAAGTTATCTTTAAGTTATTTAAATTTATATACTAAGAATAATAATTATATGATAATGAGTTAAGGAGCTATTTTTGAAATTTAACTTTTTTAATAATTAATATTAATTTATCAACATTTATAATTTGTAAAAATAGTTCTATTATAACAAATTCTAGATCCCCTGTTACATTCGCTTTATATTCTTGTAATAACATGACTATCGTCCTAATTATAAATATTTTAATAACTAAGAAACTACTCGTTTAAATTTTGAATTAGATACATTAATATTTTCTAAAAAGATATTCACTAAATAATTTACATATACCTACGTATAAAAGACGAACTTTCATAAACATCTGTATCACCAAACGACAGTTCTTGAGTAACATATAAATACTCAAGAATTTAAATAAATTTATAAGGTATTAAACGAAAAAATAGGAGTGAGTATGTTTGGTGAATGCCTCTTTATACATTTTATAACATATAAGTATTTATTATTTTCTAATTTTAGTTACGAAAAACTAACTAATAATTACATTTTCCCGATAACACATAAGCCTGAACAGCAATATGTATATATATATAAATATAAGTATTATTCAAGCAATGTAATCTGTCAGGTTATTATTAATAGCAGTTGTCTTGATATGAAATACACATTAAATAAAAAAATATTTGTATTTAAAATTAAAATAACTATTCTTTTTCTAAAGTGTAAATAATATAAAAACAAATTCAATTAATTATATTAGATGATAATAAACTCTAATAACTTGTCAAGTATCAAATAATTACACATTATTTTTAAACGTACATTTGAATAATACTACAACTAATAATTGTTGTAAATTTATTTTTCTAAAAAAATGAATTAATCAGATCTACAGTAAATAATTGACAATTTTATCAAAATCTTTTAATAATAATAATAAATAATAACATTATTATCTTTATAACGTAAGATAAAATGTTAACGATATTGATATGATTTTATCATCTCCGTGAGACATTGCAATATATAATTATATTATTATCGCTGAGTTGTTAGTACCTATTAAAATAATAACAATAATTATTATTATTATTATTATTATTGTTGCAATACGTCAAATAAATAATGTAATGTAGTTTCATATATATTATTTAAGTGTTATGTTGTTTAATTCCTCTTTAACAATACATCAAATTGTATTTATTTTATTAGCAAGTTATTTTTTTATTTCCCAGTAGTTGCTTTAAATAATATAAATGATTAATATAATTTAACATTTACTTATAAGCAGTATATATTTTATCTGTTTGAATTTTAAATAGCACGACGAAAAAGTATATTTACCATGTTAAAATTGAATCGATCAAGTGAGAAAACAGTTTTATTTCATTTTCAATGTTTATAAAATCATAACTATAAACATTTATTATGTTTACATAGCAGACGCTTATAGTTTACTCATTACGGCTTATTCAATTATGAATTTCAGAAATACAATTACATCATTTACCATCAACCTATCTTTTCTATTTCATAATTAATTTTATCTAAAACTATAATTCATTATCACATTATCTCGAATTAAAAATTTCAAGAAATGTTAAACTACTTTATATTTTATAAATTACTAAACATAGTATAAATTGATATCAAAATTAGTAAAATCATAAACATATCAAATTTATTTTACTATTATGATAATAATATAATATTTTAAAATGTTTATTATTATTATTATACTTAAATGTTGTGACGGTGTCTAAAATACGTAGGCAATTTAGCTACTTTTGTTCATAATACATTTTTTTTATCAAAACTTAATCATTTGATTTTTTTTCCAGTTTGCGATTGGCTATATCAAGATTTTTCTTGTAACAAAGACTCTTGTACGCTTGCAAGCCCTGGGTTTCCGGGAATTTATGGTACAAACCTTTATTGCAAGTACCATATTACCACAAGCTCCGTTCACACCAAAGTACGGCTCCAATTTCTCACGTTATCATTACCACTCAAGTAAGATATAACAATAATATTATATAAATATAACATTTTTCCTATAAATATAATCACCATATATATGTTGTACAATTAATTTACTTGTCTACTTATTACTATTATATTAAGTATGTATAAAGAAAATCGTAAAAAAAAGTATTCAAATTTTTTATTAAATAAATTTAAAGCTTCTATTTGTTTAAAATAATAAAATAGAATGACTTTATCGTTAATTTATAATATTCCTGATACGCACCAAACTAAATTATATATTTTTTAATATTTGATCATTATAAAAATATTTTTAATTCAAAATTTGCTTCACAATTAGGTTGTTATCAAAATTATTTCCTAAATATATTTAAAACTAATTTAACATAGATTAAAAATAAAATATAAATAATAAACTATTACAAATATTAAATACATCACGTCATGCATACCTACAGCAATATTAAGTTATATACATTTTTTTTTTTTTAATGAATACGTCAGTCGTAACAAATTGCATGATTAAATTGTTATAAATTATAATACGAAGTCTTATATTTGAGAGTCTTGTTAAATATTTATCCATATATCCCAATATATATTATTCTGATATCCTTATACCATCAAAATGAACTTCGTGCCACAATTATTATTAAAGTTGTCAGAACAATAACGGACAATAACCATTTGTTTGATTTCCTCGCGTTATTTGTGTAAACCGCCATATTGTTTTGATTGTTTTTCATACTGGTACGTATATACTTTATACTTGGGTTAACTGAGATCTGTTGATGCTTCATTGTGTGTATATTGTATAGTGGCCAATGAGTATCTCTAAAAACAAACTCGCATAGGATTTCAATCTTCAGAACTTATAATCATTCCTTGTCTACCTTATATCTCAAATTAAGATTGAATAGAAATTAGAATATTTATTAAGATATTTTTTTACCATAATTACAATAAAAAACAAAAGCTACAAGTTTTAACCGTTTTGTAATACATTAATATTCGAATATATTTCGTCATTAAGTAGGAACTGTAATACATGTGTTGAGTTTGGATTTAATGATATATCATTCTACACGATAAAAAAAATTCTGAACAAAGTTGGTCTAAATTATTACCAAATAATTATTTAAATAATTTAATAACTAAATATATTAATATTACAATTTTATTAAATATTCATTTTTATATTTATAATTATTTTAAAAAGTAATGAGAATTTTCAATTTTAAACTTCAAAAAGTACCAACTTAATCCGATTTTCTACCAGAAAATGTCATCAATGTTGATGATCAAAACATTTTTTCTACTAAAAAATGTGTTTTCAGACATAAGAATAAAGTTAAAAATACACATAAATGTAAAATTAATAACTTCATCACTCTTCTCAGAAGCTAAATATATTTTAAATTAAATAATTTTACTTATCTATATGTATCTTCCTTAGTACCTTTACTTTCACCTAATTAAAATTATTATTATTTTAAATTTTTACTTTAACGTTACAGTTATATTTATCTCCAAACCTTAAAAAATTTTATACATCTTCTACTTTACAAATAATCTTTTTCGTTAAGGTACGCTTTGTTATTATTTTAATTTGATTTTAAATTAATGAAATAATTATATCATACAAACCTACAAATAAGTGAACTATGTTTATAAATAGGTCAAACTTCACTGAATATTTAAAATTTAAATCTCATCAACGTACTTGAAAATAATTAAAAATTATAAGCATTATAATTTCTATTTGAATATATTTTATTCATGCAATATTTTTATATTAATCAAATAAAAATGTATTTCTAAATGAATAATTTTTGTTTAATCGTATGTTTTGTTTTAAAACGCACAAAGTTTTTATTTCTACTCAAAATCATTTATAATTTATTTATTTATAACAATCCTTCATTTTTTCAATCCGAACTCAAAGTAAAGTGTTGACTATTTTTCACAAACTTATGCGGTATTTTGTACAATTAATATTTTTATTATATTTAATTTAATAGTAATAGATTTTATAACGTTTAAATCAAAATTAAAACTAAAAGTTAAAAACCATGTAGTTCTCGAAAAGTGTTTGCGACTCGAGAGTGCGTTAAAACAGTCTCGAGCGAAATGACTTTGCATTGCGCCGCCCGTCGAAAATATATTCGGTAGGATAATTAATCCAAACACACTCTAGCAAGACACACACACACACGCGCGTATAAAGCACGCGTATTTATGTATATATGATATAATATACGTGTACGTTGAGTAAACGAACAAAAAGACAATAAAGAGAGGGCGAAGACGAATATAGGTGAAGGGGAGGGGAAGACAGTGCACGAGATCGGATAAATATATTCCCAGCTCGTGTTGCAAACAAAACGGCGGTGGCGTGGTGAATTGTGACTAGCCGACCCGGTGAATACGTTTTACCCTCCAGAGGCGTCTTGCGGTGCATGTGTAGGTCATTGAACAACGGTGAAAATGAAATAAAAGGATTCTCCGGGAACGAACCAGTGTGGTGACTGGCGGTGGCCGTGGCCCGAGTGGACAATGATTGATAAAACGGAGGCGGCGGCGGCGGAGGATATGCTCGCTGGAAAAGTCGGAGAAAGGAAACGTGACGTAAATAATACAGTGCGCGAAATTTCTCCCGACCCGGTAATACGCGTAGGTATACGTATTATATCCTTCGCCGTCGTCCAACCGTCCACGCAGGTGTTCAGTGGCGATAGGGATGTACGAGGGTATATTATGACGCTGTGGTGTATGTGTGTTTGTTTATAGTTCAGCTCCCGTTCCGGACGCGATCTTCGACGCGTGCTATCGTTTATCATCGCACAAAGGGTCTCAATCGTGGCAAAGACGATTTAAGGTCACGGGATCCGACGGAAATATACGCGCACTCGCACGTCTTGCAGCGCTGTTATAATAAAATATTTTATTATTATCACCTCGCTACGAGTCGGCTGGATTCCGAAATCCTATTGGCTACAACGGTCGAGGATAATATTATTATGTTCGTGCTACACTCTATATAGTGGTGACTTGAAGTTGCAGTAGGTACTCTCCGAAATCGATGAAAACAATACGATGATAAAACTTGTGTTTCAAAAGTTTTCGAGTTTTTATTCCCCATTACTCCGCTACAAAGCCAACAATATACATGCATATTAATTATTATATATAATAATAATAATATAAGTAGCACTTTTTTAATAGGAAAACGAATCATTATAACCGATATACGGTCAATTTTGACCGTGATCAATAGACAACTCTGTTCGATTAAATATATAATACTAGATACCTAATATTTTTTATCTTGAACGGGGAACCATTTACATCCAGTTATGTTGTAATTCGTTGTATTTAATATACTTTATTACTATTAATATTATAAATAAATTCGAAATTTCACATAGGTACTTAGCTAAAATTTTAAAAGTGCCTTTTTTTAAATAGCAATTGTTGTGTTCAAATGCTAGGATTTAGGTCACGCAGCGATCATGCAAAAGTTTTCCACTGGAAAAATCGATTTACCTAATAATTTTGTATGAAGAAATAAAATTTTATCGTAATAGTTTTAAAAACATCATCAAATTTTCAAAGCACTTTTGATATTTTTTATAAATTTATAAAAAATATTAATTTTTTGAAGATCTTGACCTTTATAAACTTTTTTAATGACGTATCTGTGAAGATCAAGGTACTTAAATTAAAGTTATCGACAATAAATTTTTTTTTCTACAAAAAATGTAAGGGGTATACATTTGTTTTTCAACGTATTCGCTAAATGGCCCAACGTCACTCAGGTATCATTTTCATGGTTTTATTGTTTTATTTATTTATTTTTTTTTTTTTTTTTGTAGTGTTTTATACTTATATTATTATATTTATACTATTTATAGTTTCAAATATTGATAGATAATACAAAATTCAAACTGAATACACATATATTACACATGTAAAACAAAATTTGTTTATCTCCAAACTTATTATTATTCTAAAAATCATCATAGTTCTTAATTATTATTTTAAGAATTTCTACTTGGAATTGTAAATGCATACTATCTAATATATAATTAGTTTAAATGTGATTTTAATTGTATTCAACGGAACTATATAGTATATATTCATACAAACCCAAGTTAAAATGTAATAACGCACTAATAGAAAATGTTTATTATTCGAGCATTACATTAATTTGAGATAAATTATGTATTTGTGATTCATAATTTATGTATAATTAATTTCATATTAAATACATCATATTATGCATATTATGTTTAGTTATATAAAAAACTGTATTCATTGTTATCAAATAAAAAAAAAATAGATAGGATTGCACTTGATAAATATTTTAGTCTATATTTTGAATACAATATTTATTATTTTTACTTTTTATTTAGGAGCTTCATATATTTATAATATGACATTATTTAAGAATAAAAAATAAACGTAAAATACAAAATCTATCATATACAATAATCAAGTTACCTTGTAATAATTTATACACATAAAATTATTACTACCTATGTTTCTGATCTAAGTGAAATAAGGAATGTGAAGCGAGTATGATGAGGATTTGTTAATCATAATATGATTAACGAAATTTTATCAATTTAAAATACTGTACTTACTACTCAGTGTTACTTAAATTATATTGTTTATTTTAAATTTAATAAAAAAATTGTACTGCTTTTTCGTTACTATATCTACATACTTATATTATTTTATGACGGCTTTACTCACTACACTGAGTAGTTAATTTTATACCTTTTTATTTTGAACTTCATTAAAATAATGTTTTGCATAAATATACAAATATGAATACAAGAAAAAAAGCACTGTCCCGAAAGCTTATAAGTATTTTATAATTTACTAACTCGATGGTTATTATTTTATATTTTTGTTATAACAATTAGTCTATTTTTATATTAAACGGCCAACGTAAGTGTTCAACCAACAAAAATGAGCATGATAAACTGGCGATAATAGAATTACATTTTATATATTTATTTATTATTTTTAATTTTAGTTTAATGAAAAAAACATATGTTTTATAATGATTTTTTGATTACTATTATTCCTATAATCTTGTATTTTTAGGGTAAGTGGTTTATCGTGAATGGTTTTAAAACCAAACATACTACCATTATTGGTGTACACTAAGATATTGGAATAATATGCTTACATCTTGCTAGAAAATTTAAAAAAAAACCGATCGCACGCAAAGCACAAAAGAGATAATTATAATATCATAAGCGAGAATCCTATATTTACAAACCGTATGGGAAGTTAACGAACCGCGTAAAAGTGTTTTTCGTTCCAGAACTCTGAACATCTAGCAAACGGATCGGAATTTAAAATGGCGAGTTTAAGATGTTTTTATATTTTTGCAACAATATACACCTTACACAAGACGGGGTTTTTTATTTAATAAAATGTCCCATTATAACACAATATTTTATCAATGCTCTTTTATTTGCAGTACTATTGAATATATTTTATAGAATATATTTCAATAAGTAGTATCTGCTCATATTACGCATTGTGTCTATATTCAATTTAAAGATGCTAAAATAAAACGCAAAATTGTATTTTAGTATAAAATTAAATAACTTTTAATGAAAAAATATTATATTAATATTAAAAAGAATTATAATTCAAATACCGTTAGTATTTTTCAATTACTTTTATACTAATTTATTTTTATAGCGCAATCAGATTTTTGACTAAAATTTAACGAATTAACGTCACAGATTAAAAAAAAAAAAAAATGTTATGAAATCAAACAAAAGATATAAATATTATTTTTTGATAATGTAGCATATTATATTATCACGTGTGCGTTATTTTCACACTGAACATTTTTTCGAAAAACTTCTCATTGGTAATTTCAGGAATACCATGATTTCTCTGAAACCGAATTCTTCTTTTCTCACAACCACAAAACTGTTGAATTTTATACAAACCTCTAAAATATTACTAGCGAAAACATTACTTTTTTACCAAAACTTTACAGCAAATTTATTATCAGAATTTCACATGCTATTATTATAAAATATTTTTATTTTTTTTTTAATGTAACTTTTTTATTAATGAAAAATAATGTAACAATAAAAGTAATGAAATGTGTATTGAATATTTGGTGACCTGGAATTGAATTTCAGAATCAAATATTATTATTAAATATATTTTAATATCATAAAAATATTATCATCATCAAAAAACAATAAATTTCACTTAAATCAAATTTTTAACGCTTATAATAAGCAATCTGTGAATCTCTTTTTCTATTTAATACCTAAGACAGTTTTTTCTGACACGATGAACCTTATCCCATTCGATGTTTAAAATGTAAAAATAATAACGACCCCTCAACGTAATTGAGTATTTTATATTATAATATAACCAACACACGTTTTATCTCTGGTTACTTTATGAGGAAAGTATTGATACCAAAATCCTATTTGACGTTCTGAATTGTAATGATATTTTGAAAGTTTTTTTGTTGAATTGATTTTAGAAACTCATATTAAATAAATTATTATTTTAAGCGAATGATGATGAATTAATATTCCGAAGCTAAATACATTTAAAGTTATAATGAAATAGAAACAAAAAATTAAAAATTATATTTTACCTACAAATTTTTGTAAAAAAAAAAATTAGCATATTATATTAGTGCAATTGGTATGTAAGTATATTAAATTTAAGCCATAAATTAATGTTTTTATAAGTCGGCTATAATATATTGGGCTATCGTGAAGGTAAAGCGTTCAAAAGTTTAATTCTCGTATAATATATTCGACTGCCTATGCAAATGATATAAGGTGTACTATAAAAGGAATAAATTATAAATTCTTCTTTGAATGACTTTACATTTATTTAATAAGTATTCAAGCAGTCACAGATTCAGTTTACAACCACATACAAGTATTTAAATTGAAGAATATTAAATTTACTACATTTCAATAGTTCAATAAGATTTTTTTTTTAATTATAAAATTTTGCTTGAATTTTAAAATTATTCAACCTTAAACATTTCATAACTAAAAGATATAATATATTGAAAATTATGTTCATATGATCTAGTTATATTGATAACACAGTTTTAATTCAGTAGTCGATAAAACATGTAGTGTATACTACATATGAATTCATGTTCCAACGGAAAGTAACTTTTAACAACACATAAATATTTTGGCACTTTAATTTGTATTGTTTAAAATCGTTGAGGTATACGTAGAAAAATATAAATTATAAGTTATAAGACAAGGATACAACGACGGAGAATCTGTGGTGATATTGTAGTTGCTTAAAAAATAAAATATCATAGATTACCAATGTGGACATTGGACGTTGACAAATATGAGATAGCTAGTGAACTCTAGTGTTTTCTGCTGTACGCCAACAATTTTCACGAGAAATTGTGACTTTCCCGGTTAAAAAGCTTTTATCCGGATGACGGTTATTAGTTATTACAAACGGTTATTCTCCAATAAAAACTTTTTCAGAGGATTTTCTCTATTTAAAAAAATAAATAATTTTCTATTGTAATTACATTTATAACAGAAATTTCAATTTTCATCTCTAACACTTATTCGGGGATTCAAATATTTTACACAATTTTTTCCGTTTTAAACCAAAGTGTATTAACTATTGACATAAAATATTTATGACTAATAATAGCTATAAATATGTTTAATTAATATTTTATTTTATTAACTACCAAGTACCAGATGTTATTTTATTGATAATTGATCTAAATAATTATTTTAAATTTTTGTTTTAATGTTTAATTAGAAATTAGATTTTAGTTAAAATTATATCAATAAGTATAACACTTTTATAATATTATGTTAGTTATAACTGATACGATTGAGATAGGTTCTTATTATTTTTATCCAATCAATTCAATATTATACAATTCAATGTTTTCTACATTTTATTTTGATTTATAGTAGTAAGTTGACATTTAAAATTTTATTGTATTAACGTATATCTCGTAATATTTTAGTCATTGTGGAACACATTACATAAGTGTTTATCAAGGACCGACATCCAACAGTCCTTTGATAACAACAATATGCGACAAGAGCAAAAAAGACCACACTTTTCCCGGGCCAAACGTGCTACTTGAGTTCAGGTAAAACTCTAGAAAAACTATATACCTATTCATTTTACTTTAAAATTTTGAATATATATCTAAAAAGAGCTAAAAATATATATTTACTATAATTTGTAGGGCTGGAGCTGCAATTCCGCCGTACGACTACACAGGATTCGTAGCCACTATCGAATTCATCGATGACTTGAGTACACAATCAACCAGTACTGTAGCCACATTGGAAGTATCACCGTATCCAGCCATCGCAATTCCGAGTAAAAATAAAATTATTTTAAATCATTAAAACGTATGAACTTTGTGTTATTCCGACTATGTGGTTTTTGTCGTAGGAAACTTGAGAAACGACCAATCTTGTGAAATGATAATCAAATCGGCCGATATCAAGTCTGGACATTTCGATTTACGTGGTATGCAAAATTGGAAAACAAATTGCACTATTCGTTTTGAAGGAAGGGAACCGGAAATTGTGCATATATCCTTGTTCAACTACGTGCTAAAGTGAGTGTGATTATTACACTTAATATTAAAATGTACATAGTTTACCTACAGTTTTGTATATATCTATAAGAATACCTTGATATATTTATTATATCACTATGATAAATAATATCCAAGCAAAATCTTTATTTTTTTAATAATTAGATTATAATTTATTACATTATGTTAAGTGTATGTGTTAGCACTTAAAATATGTTTAGTTTATTCTTTTTGTAACAAATGTAATACAAATAAATAAATCAACTGTGGATCTTGCTAAAAATATACAATAATTTGTATTTCTTAAAAATATTTAAAATTTTATTTTATTAATAATCAATATAATAATTATAATATAATTACGAGTAGGTTCTTAGCTTAAATATTCAATTTATATATATTTAAACATGGTATGAAAATAATCTGTCATATTATGTAAAAGTATTATTAAAAAAAATGTGCTTAAAAATCGGTATGATATTTTAAATAATTTTAGAGCCAGTTCTTGTGAATCATTTATTGAAATTTATGACGGACCAGAAATAAAGTCAAAAGATAAAACTAAACGATTGTGCAGTCCCGTAGAGAATTATGCTAGAGATACAAATGGAATGTAAGTCTAATAATGGAAAGTTGATTAAAAAATTTGATAAAAAAATTACTTCCATTTTTTTTTTTTTTTTTACTTTAATCAATTCTATGGTTGTGTTTTACTTACAGGTTTCGAGAAAGACAAATGTTTGTTTCTTCAGGGAATCATTTGACGCTTTTCGTCCGCAGATTAATGGCAAATAATCAAGATGAAGAGACCGAATTTCTAGATGGAGCCTATAGTTTCTTTAATGGTTAGATAAATTAATGTTTATTTATGAAACACATTGATGTATATAATACATTTATATTCATTTTAATATTAATTTCGATAATTTAATATGATGTGTTTAGTATTAGAAAGAGGAACATTGCAACCGGAAACGTTATGTGATGTTAACTATAATGGCCGAAGCAGTTCATCTAGAGGAAAACTGAAACATCCAGGAACCGAACAAATATTTTGGAATGTTGAAGGACAATTGAAGTGTTCCCAAAACCTCATTCCAGCTACCAATCAAAGCATAAGCATCAAAGTAATAATTATTTTATATTTTCATCTGTTAATAAATATTATAAATACGTAATTAGTTAATAATCATAAATTTATTTATGTTTACAGTCATAATTTTACTTTAAATTTGTATCAATAATAATTTACCAAAAATATATACATATTATATAAATCGTACTAATATTTGGAACAAAAAAAAAATAATATTTATTTTTAAAAACTGTATTTTTGACTTGTTTTTAATGAGTAACTAAATATTTACAGTATGATATAAAAGCTCTCATTAAGAATTATTGTGGTTAAACTAAATGACCATGTTTATAATGTTCCAAAATACAAATTATAAACTTAAGTATCAATCAAGAACACAAATAAATTATGTAGGTTTTAGAGGTCTTAAAAATAACTAATAGATAGTGGCAAGTACTCCTTAACCAAACCAAACCTATTTTGTTTTGTACTTAAAATGTGGTTTATCTTTGTATTTAAACACAAAACACTAATAAAAAATCAGAAAATCAGAAAATCTATACAAAGTATAAAAGCTGTATATTATACAAACGTCCTTTCCCTTTACTTACCTCATATTTCTGATTTCGTTTAAAAAATATATTAAAATTATATTATTATTAGGGCTTGGATTTATAAGTATAGTAAATATAATAAAAAAAGCACAAAATTGTTTTAAAAATCAAAACAGAAGCATATTTATTTATTTAAAAAAAAAAAAAAAATCATAACCAAAAATGAACATAAACTAATTATAAAACTGAATGAAAAAAATTTTAAAATTAATTTAAATTAAAAAAAGAATTAATTACCATGTATTTTACTATATTTTCAATGGTGAAACTGACCCTATTGTTCGACAGAATGTTTTTTATAGATAGAAAACGAATGCTCTGCATTCACTAAAGTAATTGGTGTATACTTCATACAACAGGTTTTGTTTAAATCAAGCTCATAGTAATTAATTTCCAAATAATAATCCAATGTAACTATTTAATCCGTATTCTGGGTTTTACATTTCTAAATAATTATATTAAATTTTTTTTATTAATATAGAATGATAAACATATACAAATTTCTACTAGCTAAATAACTGAAAAAGTAATAAAAAGCATTTACATAAAAAAAACTGAAAAAATCAAAAATAAATTGGTTTATTTGGAATCAGAATAACAAGAAACAAACTTATGTACAAAAATTAAATTTCTATCTCATATATAAAAGAGAAACATATGCTTTAAAATCTGAGCCCTAGTTTTTATAAAATTATAACAGTAAATTGTTTTGAAGCCTTAGACATAAGAAATATAGAAATGTTATACTTAGAAAAAATATAAATACTCAGTATTAAGATTTTTTATTTTAAATTTAATTTTAGCATAAAAATAAAACACTTTTTTTATGTATTTCATTCTTAGAGCATTAAATTTTTGTCGAACATTATATATACCTGTTTAAAAATTGATATACAGTTTAACACACAACTCATAATCAAATAAATATATAATCTACGTATACGAAAAACACAAGTCTAAAGTAAGAAAACATAATAGCATTAAATCTGTTTGATCAGTAAGTCTTTTATGTCTACGTTAAATTTGAAGGGTTTTTAAATACATTAAGATTAAAAACTTAATATTCAATACAAAATTGTAATACATTATATTATTTAGTACAAAATGTAATTACTGTTTCCAATGAAATTTCATTAGTAACATCTCTATTAAATATGATCGATAAAAACATTTTTAAAACTTACTTTGTGGTAAATTATAATAATGTTATAAAATGTTGAGAATTCTTTGTCAATATTTTTGCGTTTATTTTGTAGTTTAATAAAATGGAAATTTGATGAATATAATTTTTTAATATTATTATTATAATATTAATATATTTAATTATTTTTGGTATTTATTTTTCATAATTTATTTTTTTAAATATAATACGAAATACAATAGTGTATAAAATAAACGATAAATTGTAAATAGTAAGTACAGTGTACCTGGTGGCTGGTACACATAACATCAATATTGCTTTGAAAAATTAATAATTTATATTTCATCGATATAGTTTATTACCTTTCTGTTTTAAGGAAACTTTTTGATCAGATGATTATTAATACCTAAATACCACGCGTCTTAAATATTGTTTACAGGTAATATCATTAAATAAGATGTCGTCAGACTTGTGCTACACCGAATGTGGAGACAGCGGATGTCGTTGTGTTAAAAATGCTACATCGGTCGTCGATCAGCTATACATCATCTCAACAAACGATGACATATTGTCTTGCATTTGTGGTGATTTTCAGGTAAATGTTCTCGATGGACAAAACCGCGAATATATTTGTGTACCTATATGTAATATTATTTTTCACTTTCCGAGTAGTCAGCGGAATTTCAACGTGCTAGCATTATATTATGATTTTCATATTTATGTATGCGTTAGGCTGAATGGTTACCGGTCACCGTCAAATCATGGTCACCCATCAAGTTGATATACTCGGTATCAAAGTACAGCTGGTCTAACAAAGGGTTCGAATACTCGGCCGAGTATTCGTTCAAAGACGACATGGTGTGTGGTTATCGGATCATTAACCAACATACTGGCATACTTGAATCACCAATAATGATCAGGGATAGTCCACTCAATTTCTATTATCATCAGGATTGCACATGGTTACTGGATTCAAATGTCGAACGTCACTTGACCATAGAAATAGGAAGTTCACAAAGTCGTGAGTATAAACTATTACGTTACAAACTTACAACAGTTGACAGTAAAAAATTAAATCGTGGATTTCTTAAAATGACAAAATTAAACCAATAAACTTTCTATTCAATATAATATGCAAAATTACCAGAATTTTTAATCAAAATATGTTCCAAAAAATTTTAATTTTTGGCTATGCAAATTAAAAATTAGCATCATCTTGAATATTATATTTAAAAAAAAATAATAGCTTTGTAAATTGTATATCCAAAAATAATATCAACATTTTTCGAGGGACTAGTTAAAAGTTTTATTGGACTATGTGGACTATGAACAGTACAAGTTTTTATTTTTAACGATATGTTTATTCGTAGGATCTGTTTAATATAACTTAACAGTTAACTTTAGATGAATTTCTATCGCATGTATGTTTAAAAAGTGTAAAATATTATTTATACACTATGTAGTTCTAGATTTGAACTAATCTGTATTACTGTGCATATACAAACTCACAAAACATAGGTTTTGTCAAATGTATTGATTTTAAATTGAATTTTTTGCAATATACTATAAAAAAAACATTTTTAAAAAGTTAAAATTAGAAATAACCATTAACTTTTAAAATAAAAATAGAGTTAATGATGTTTAAATAAAAACATAATTCTTCAAAGTTCTAGGATAAGAATAATAGAACTATTGTTCTATAATAAAACAAATACTAATTTTAGTAAAATCCTTTGTTGTAAAATTTAAATTTTATGAAATAGAATTTAAACTTAACTGGAAAAACAATGAGTGAAGATGAGCTTTAAATCGGTAAAAATCTTTTTTTAATAATTAGTTTTGTAATAGTTTACAAAACACCTTTTTTCTTAAATAGAGTAATTAAATAAAAAATCTTCTGTACTAATTACAAATTAGTCTGATAAAATAAAAAATAAAAACATTCTCAAGCAGTTGTTATTTTTGAAATTTTTATATCTTAAACAATAATTATATGTAAACAAGTTTTGTTAGTTAAACTAATTATTTTTATTTTGATAAATTATAAAAAAATAATTTCGAAATATTACCAAAATTAATTCGTATTATCATGGTTCAGAAATAATTATTATATTTAACTTTTTAAATTTAAACATAATATATTATATTAATAAACCTTTTTGTTAATAATCTGTCGTAGAAGTCACACAGATTAAAAAGGGAGTGTTCAATATTTTTTTTTTATTTATTAATTAATTTTAATATAAACACTTGATTATATAACATAAATTGTAATTATTGAAAAATTAAAAAATTAAATATTTTATTGTTTCTACAATACTAATATAGAACTTTATGTCAAAATAATAAAACTACATAGATATAATATTTGTTTGATAATTTAAGATAAAATTTTAAAAATAATGTAATTACTGATATATATATGTTTTCAAAGTTTATTAACTTTGAATAACGACATAAGAAATTTGATAAAACTAAAAATTTCACCATCCTTAAAATGTTTTACATAATATTTAATATTAATTAAGTTAAAAACCATGGTGTCGTAATACAATCATGTTATTAATATAACTTTATTACTTATATAACACCTAGATAGAACCTAACCCTAGATATATTAAAATAAAAAAATATTTGAATCAATAAATACAAGCTTACGATATGATAATAAATTTAGCATATACTGTAAATTCACACTAAAACAACGATTTTAAGTGTTATTAATCGATTGTAATTTCTATTGTTTTTTGTATAAATTTTTTTGAACATACAAATTAATGAGTTTAGTAAATCATATTTTATTTATTATTACAATTATCTAAAATGTTTTAAAAATAATAATTACGGACGTAAGACATTTTTAATAGACATTTCCTTACATTTTCCCTAACTATAAAGTATTTAAAAACATACTAAGATGCAGTTTTACTGTGAGTAATATGAATAATAACTACAAATTATAAAATATTTATTATACCTTAGGTCCTTGCTCAGCGTGGAATATAAGCATTCATGAGTATTCGGAAAGATCAGATGACAAAGCCGGTCAGATACTATACACATTTTGCTCCAGAGAAAAAAATTCAACCAACACGCTGCCGTGGCAAATGAATATCGTAGTAATCAAGTATGTAATTTTTACACATTTTTAAATCAATTTAAAAACAAATTATTAAATATGATGCTTTTTGTACTGTAGACTAAGAGCAATGACACAAACTCCACCTCAATATTATATTAAATGGAGATCAGATGTCGATCGTGCCAGACTGTCCGGATCGACGGCCCATACAGCCGCTGCTAATGGATCACTAAAGTTGACAAGCAATTGGACAATATTATTATTTAACATCATATTTGTTTACGTAAAACAAATGAAAAATAGTTGAATAGTTACCAGTATGACTAAAGGATGTTTTACATAATATGTAGATTTAATTAATGGTGTCTACAAATAATTGGACTATAAACGATTATTTTTGGTTGTGACTGTTAGTGTTTGATTGATTTTGTGCCAAACTTTTAAATGAACATTTCGTTTAGTAATTTATTTATTTACTACTATAGATAATCTGATAACTTACTGAATATTGTCATATCATCAACTGAATGATAAAATCAATAGCAAAATTCTACTTGCATCTATCATTTTTTATTAGGTTTTTGTTTGTATAATTATTGAACTATGAATAAAAATAATTATAATAAAATCGATACTTAATAAAATTGTTAATATGATATTTATTTTATACAAATTATTTTTATTCTTATAATTCAAAAATGTTATGTTCAAGAATAAAAATGATTCAGTTAGTATGCACCGTCTATGTCATTTTGTTAAAAGACTCAAACAAAATAATCAATATGTATATATATATATTTTGTTTTTTATAATTGTATGTACAAATTGATTGATCAGATAATTTTGTTAATTTAGTTTAGTATACGATCTCTTATGAAAACACCCAATAGTTTTTTTAGAATAAAATTAGCTTAAATCATATAACTGTTAAATTAAAATGATTAAATTCTGTAACTGTAAACTCTTATATGTATACATACATTTTTATAAATATTATGAGTTTAAAAGTTCAAGTTCATTATTGTTTATGATTGAAATAATTATATAAATAATATTTAACACTAGTTAAGATATGTATTAGTAAAAAAATTACATAAAATAAAAATAGAGAATCATTTTTTAGCATTTACTTCACAAAGATAAAAAAAATAAGGAAATAAATAAACAAGCAATACTTCAGAGTTATTTAATTTTTACAATTATTTTTAAATTATTTTCATTTTTTAGTTCTGTTAAAATAATTTGAAAATATTTTATTTTTTATTTTAATGCAAAATGCTAGGGCCTTGAAGTATAAAAAATTAAAACTATATTGACATAAATAAGAGATAAGTCCTCTTTTATATTTTATATTTTTAAACACACTGTCGACATTCAAGTCTTTTTCAATTTTCAATATGGAAAAATGAGAAAAAATGCCGGTTCGCTATAAATATTAGATATATTTGAAGATAATAAATTTAATATATTATTATAATATTAATCATGGTGTTAAAATTAATAATAATATTAACTTTATTATTACTTTACGCATTGTTATAAACTATAATAAATTTGTCATTTAAATTTAAGATTTTTAAAATGTATAATGTTTTATTTACTGGTAGATTAATTTAGTAATTATATACAATAATAAAAATATACAAAAATATTGCTGATATCAACCAGCTAAAACTGCACGTAAAAAAAATATTAGCACTTGCTAATTTGATTAAGCTACTTTTATTTGTAAACTGCGTTATAATAGTATTATATGATCAGGTTAAAAAGTATCCTTTTTTCATGTTTTAATTAAATGATACATTGTAAATAATTTTAAATAAAATAATAATCATACAACATACCAAAATACTTTTAAATCCTAATTTATTGATTATTAGACAGTTTTCGACTGAACTATTTTCGTTGAACATCTTATAAAAAACAATTTTGCAAGCATAATATATTGTTTATGTATAATTTATATAATTTAATTATTGTTAATGAATTACACAGAAAATCATAGCAAAATTTTGACTGTTGAAAAATTGTTCAAAATTCTTTGGAACTAATTAGCTAATAATATGTGCGGTGAATTGTGAATATACTATTTATTAAATAATAAACCCATTTTTAATGCTACGGTATTTATAGTTTATTAAAATACCTATATTGTATTTTTATTAATAGCTTGCTATATTTTATATATTTCAAGTTCGTCTACTTTAAAAATACTAAAAAAGAATACATAGAATCAAGTATAAATCATAAAATAAAAATAACTATATAATTTCAAAATTATTTGAGTGTTTCTATGAGAAAACGATATGAAATTAATAAAGAAAAGACAACAAAAGTTCATAAACGTGTTAATTGTAAAACAATATGATTTATATGCATACAAATTTTGATTTCTAAAATATATATTATGATAATATTGCAGAAATGAACTTATTTTTTAAATTTATTTTATGAATTTTTTGGATAAATTTGTAATGTTATTAAGTATATTATATACTAATAAGAACACGAAACTTATTATTTCAAATAATTAAAATAGCTTATATTAGAAAATTCTTTCATTAAAAATATATTAGAAAATTAATAACGAAACTTCAATAACTTGTCAAAAAGTTAATTGTTATGTTTATTTGATAAATACAAAATTAAATTCTATAATTTATAAACATTTTTATTTTGATATATTATTAGACACAGAAGATCTGATAAAAATTAACCGAAATACGCTAAGGGAATAAATTCAAAACTTGCCAATTAAAACTTTTAACACATTTGTCTTATTGCTTAAATAGGCAAAAGAGCACAAGTTTTTCATTTAATATTAACTGACCGAAACAAAATGTTAAGATAATTTAGTTACTGAGTTTGTTTTACTAAAATAAAACATAATATAATTATATCGACTATAAACAGAATAAACTAAGATTTCATTCAGAAACAAACAGTAACGCAGACATGATAACATTTTTAAGTGTAATAAATAATAATATATTTAGTCATATTTTACCCAGATAAGAGAACCATTTAAAAACATTGATATGTATTCTTAACTTATTTCATCGTACTGAAATACAGACCGTTATAAAATAATATAAAGGTAGGTACTTTGAACACCATTATTAAATAAAATCAATAAATTTACTGTAACAAAATTTTTTATTCGAGTAAAATCTTGAATATATTTTATGAGTTTGACTTATAATGTTTGTGCAAAATAACTTACTCAATTACTTAATTACCACATTTATAATAAATATGATGTAGTTTTAATAATATCACTAAGTGCAGATGCAATTTAGATAACACGGTTATAATTACTGTAAACAGTTTAAACTGTGCATCACAAAATTAAAATTTGTTTAAATTTATTATATTAAATTTAACATTATATTAGAATAAAAAATTTTATGATACATTTAAATACAGTAATATTAAAATTATAAACTAACTTCTAAATAGACAATATTACCGCTACATTAATGAAGTATTAATAGTTTAGTGACGGATTTAAGGGTTCAAATAAAGTCGGCAAATCCATGAGAGGGGGCCTCGTAAAAAATTTCAGTAACATACTTACCCTTATTTTACAAAACCATTCGCGAAAATAATGCCCAACAAACATTTTTTTTTTTTATAAAAGTAATTATAAATGTTTTTTATTTTTATTTTATAAAATATGAACTGTACACATAAAGTGTTTATTTACTTTTTAGTAAAGGATAAAAAATTACATATTATTTCTAGGTATGATTTAATTTTTTAAGTTAATCGATCAATTAATAATAAAATAAAATGTAAAACATGAACGCCGCAGTGTAGCAATCGTGTTAGGCACGAACTTTAATGTGTGTACCAACGACGAGTTAATGGTATACAACGTAGAAATATAAGTGAATACCAATTGGTGGTGTAGAGGTTAGGTTGAGCCTCTATTTATAATAATATCAACAAAAACTTTATAATATTTATTCTGCGGCGAAAACAATGTCCTAACCCGTTAAATGGTCAATGTATAAACATATATGAAATATGCAATTTTCACACGGCTGTGTTTATCATATTTTTCGATATTATAATAATATACGTTGGGACTTGGCGAATTTATCGCGAAAACGGTATTCAATAAATCATAATTTACGCGACAGGGCCGCTGATTAAGTAATGAAGAAATTGTTATACTTACAAAATTTTTATTTTTATTTGTCATGATGCAATCTTGATTGCGTCTTCGTGCGACTTGTCGTTACGCCGAATTAGAATCAAATGATTAAAATATTTAAAATAATAGATTTTACTATTTTAGTAGTCACAAACACAAAACGACTGTTGATACTTAATGGTTATTTTAGTTTTCGCGATAACAAAGTAGCTACCTACTTTGTATTGGTGTATTTTAATTTGTATTATATGGGAAAACCGATGCAGCGTAATTGATTACGTTATAACATCAATTATTATAAAATAATATTATTTGCGATCAATGTCCATTGGCTACTACGTAGTACGTAGAAATATGGAATGTTGAATTACTTAAATTTACGTATATTATACTGATATATTTCTAAATATTTAAAATATTTAATTAATAAAACAATAGTAAATTATATTCCAATTTACAATATACAATTTTTTTTTTTTTGTCAAAATTAAAAAAATCTATTACATAAATTAGGTGGTCCTCGGTACACAATGAAGGAGGAGGCCTCATTGGCATTTGCCGACTAAACGACCATTAAATCCTCCACTGATTATTTATTTAATAGTATTGTAAAGAACTGATAACAAAATAATACTTTATTATCACTTTTATTTATCGATGCATTCTATACATTATACTCCATTGAGATAAGACATATTACTAAGTACCTTTAGTACCTATATCACTTTTTCATAAAAACACAATATTTATATTTATAACAATATAATTGACAACATTCTATTAAGCAAATAATATATAATTATATCATATATTTTGTCAATTAATTTTTTTCAATTTAAATAAAAACTGATCTGACAGTCAGTTCCATTATTTTTTCACTCATCTTCGGTGTAAACACTTTCCGAAGAATTGAACAATAATCAATTTATAAATTATATTCATAATATATCCAGATGTCTTATACACATATTTTTATAATAGAAACATATACTATAATATAATTTTTCAAAATATAATCAGTAATCTTCAAATGGTTTTTATAATATTATTTACACATAAATATGTAGGTATAGCATTATAACATCACTTGTTTTATAAAATAATTTAAAACATAAATGCAGTCTAAATATAATGAATAGTTTCTGGCATTAAAAGATGATAATATATCAAGAAATTGAAGTATAAATTAAGAATTTTTATTTATCTATGTACAAAACTATTTAGTTTAATAAATACCTACTGTTTTACAAAAAAAATTAGGAAATACTTGATTATGTAATCAACACAATTAAACAATTATACCTTTTATATAATATTATTTAACTAAATTTCATAAAATATGTACAACACAATAACATAGTTTTATATAAACATGTTAAAAAATACATTTTCTG